AACAATATTAACAATAGAAAATAAATATACAAATGTATTATAATTTGTAATAATAAAAATACTGGGTAATAAGGCACAGAGAGTGAGAAAGGGTGTGGCTAAAATATTAACAATAAAATACAAAATTAAATATATAAACATTATTATATCTATAATACTATATTATAATTATTAATAACAATAATTAAATACATAAAATGTTAATTATAAAAATACAAATATATACAACCATTATTAATATTTTAATATCTGTAATGATCTGTTGTAATAATAATTATTATTTTTATATATTATTATTAATAGTAACAATAACAATAATAATAAATGAATTATAAAAACAAAATATTAACTAATTAAATAAATATACATAAAAATATATATTTTTAATAAATTGTTATTAAAATACATGATTATGATTAGTAATAATAATACTCATTTTCTGATTAAAGACCCAAGATGAGATATCAGAATTTTTTTTACTCTGCATAATGCTGTACCTGTAGTGAGGTATACAGGTGCACTGGCGTCGCTTTGGCAGTGGCCTCTGTGGGCAGTGACAGTGAAAGTGTAGGTCTCTCCACAGCCCAGATTAGAGAAGGAACAAACAGAGTTGGTGGAGTTACAGAGCTTGTATCCTCCTTCTGCACTGATGGCTCGGGCGATGTAGTAATCAGCTCCTTCTCTCACTTCCCAAGACATCACAGACATTTTGTTACCGCACAGTTTATTGACTTCCGGCTGCAGTGGTGCACAGGGTCCTGCAGGGTGGTCACAGAAAGGTTGTACCCTAATTAGTGTGCTTCAACTTTTAACCCCTTCTACACATAATGCTTTGTAAACTCACTGGACTGAAACGTGACATTGGTGGTGGAAGTCACTTGGCACTGCTGGTTTGTAGATTCGAAGGTGAGGTTAAATTGCTGATCACACTGCAGGGAGGAGATGTTACAGTGGTTCTGACTGGTTGAGCAGGAGACTGTTTGACCTTCTGACCCCAAAGCGGTCACGGAGTAATTCTCCGCCCCAGCAATGGAACTCCAGGACACTAGAACTGAATCTGTAGCACAGTCCACCACAGCAGACACACTGGTGGACAGACATGGTGCTGAAAAATACAGAAGAAGCATATTTATTAACTATGATATATACACTTATGATTATGATTTTATATTCTGGCGACGGCAAAGCTGATGGCTGCTTCAGAATCCTTTAGAAATTATTTAAATATGTGCAATTTATGTGCAAAATATTTAAATAAATGTGCAATGAATCGTGCAAAATAAGACCAGAAACATGGTAAGTTCTGGTTTAATGTAGACTTCGGCCTTTGGTACTAGAGGAATTAGCTGTGACTGGAAAAATATTTTTGTGCAGTTACAATATTGTTTGTTTTTATTTGTTTTTTACAGACCTGATGTCATGTTGACCCCTATGCTGTCAGAGCTGTTGAACACTTCACCGATGGCACGGACTCTGACATAGTACACTGTTCCACAGGTGAGATCAAATAAACTGCAGTATGTATGATTTGTCCGACAGGAAGTGGAATGACCATTTCTGCCTTCCAGGAATGCAACGTATCCCACTGCCAACTGGCTAGGCTCCCAGGAAACAGTAGCACTGTGGGTGGCACAGTTTAGGCTAGCTTTGACATTCTGAGGAGGACAGGGTTCTGGAATGACATGAAGTAAATGACACTGATTCAAGATGGACATCATGCAGGTTTGGAATGACATGAGGGTGAGTAAATAATGACAGAATGTTCATTTTGTGTGAATATTCCTTTAAAATCAGTGGTAGCATGACTGACCTGTCTTGATAGGATCAGAGGTTACAGTGTCTCTGCAGACACTGTTGTGAGCCGTCACACTGACATTGTAGATCTGACCACAACCCAGGTCTGGGAAGGTGCAGTGAGTGTTAGAGGTCTCACAGGTCACCGTCAGGCCCTCGAGGCTCACAGCCTCTGCTGTGAAGTTGGCACCACCTTTAGTGACATCCCAGGAGAGCAGAGCGGTGGAAGGACTGTACTGCGCTGTCAGATGCTGAGGAACACACGGACCTGCAATGGTATGAAAACTATTTAATTTTAAGAATTTATGTACAAGATACATATTTTATTTGAAAAATAATGCATCATGTTCCTAGATATAGTAAAATGGTTGAATGGAGCAGTCTATTTCAGTCAAGCAGAAGTTGGCAAAACTAAATCACAAAACCAATTTGACAAGTCTCAGCTGAGAACAAGCAAATCAGGCTTACTAAACCTCACCTGTGATCAGGGAGCCGGTCATCTGTGCACTGGCATTGCACGTGTATCCCAAATTCTGTACGTTCACCGTATACTCATTTCCACACTGCAGGTTGCTCAGCTCACAGTGCGTGATGGAGCTGTTGGAGGTACAGCTAGCCCTGTTGTTCACCGGTGCCAAGGCAGAGACAGCATATCCCTGAGCACCTGCACCATACTGCCATGACACAGTGGCTGTACCCAGCTGACAATCCAACACTGCCCTGATGAAGCTGGCTGCACAGGGAACTATGGGTAAAAGCAGGAGAGACACTGAGAATGACAATATTTAATTGGAGCCCAATGTTCTTCAGTGGAAACATGGTGAACAGAGATATTGGCTGTGGTCTGAAAAGCATGCTACCATACTTGCTATTCATTCAATATGTAGTTTTTATACATACACGACTGTTGAAAAGTTTGGGGTCGGAAAGATTTCTTAATGTATTTAAAAGAAGTCTCTCATGCTCACCAAGGAAGAATTTATTTGATCAGAAATAAAATAAAAGTAAAAACAGCAATACTGTGAAATAGTATTACAATTGTTTTATTCTTGTGATGACAAAGTAGATTTTTCAGCAATCATTACTCCAGTCTTCAGTGTAATATGATTCTTCAGAAAGAAACATTTATTTAATGTATTAATTATATTTATTAATTTCTTTAAAAATTCTTACTGACCCCAAACTTCTGAACAGAAGTGAAAATTAAAAACAAATGTGCAGGGCATACTACAGACCATAGTAGTCTGGGTGCTGAATCCCACAATGCAAAGCACTCGACTTTGTCCAGACAAACTCAACTCATTTGAATGATTTGCAAAGACTTTTTTTTTTTTTTTTAGATTTTATGCAAAATGAACCTATTTGTTTTCACCTGAATGCCACTCATGGAATTAAACCTGCCCTGAAAAGTAATCAGGTCATGTGACAAGAAAGTCAAATGTAAAAATGTTGCATAATCTGTTTTACATACTATTTGTTAAAAATAGTAAGATATATACAGTATATACTGCACATTATGCAGTGAACAGTGAACATAGCAATTAATTTAGCAGAAAGTCTCTATGGGAACAAGAATGAGTATAGAGTATATAGACAAGTATATGCATGTATGTGTTTCTATGTACCTGAGTTAGTGTTCACAGTAGGACTGGGAGGGCTGCTACACAGATCATCTGACGCCGTCACATTGACGTGGTACAGCTGACCACACCTGAGCCCAGTCACATTACACTGTGAGCCCGTAGACTGGCAGGTGGTGGACAGTCCATTGCTGTCCTGCAAGGTGGCCGTGTAATACTGTCCTCCTGCACCAGGTGTCCATGATACCACTAAAGCATTTGTGGCACAATCCACAGTGGGCAGGACATTATTTGGGGTGCAGGGCACTAGAACACAAGAACCAAGGTAAAACTTGAGTGTTAATTAATTCAGTGCCTTTCTTTTACATTTTTTAAATGAAAAAGACATTCTTCAGCTTTAAAAAGAATCATGATATGAAATAATAAGCAAACCTGCTTGAACTTGAACAGGCGCACTGTTCCCACTGCTGCAGTTGCTGCCTTTTGCCTTCACTGTGATCGTGTAAGACTGTCCGCAGGTCAAAGTTAACAGGTCACAGGAAGTGGATGTTGAGGTGCAGTTAGCTGAAAGGCCATTAGCACTGCTGGCTGTCACTGTGTAAAGCTCCGCCCCTTGGCTGCTCCCCCAGATTACACTTGCTATGTTGCTGCTACAGCTTACACTGGCAGACACATTTTGTGGTACACAAGGACCTGGGTAAATGATAGAAAACAAAATGAGTACATAGTAGACTTATTATTTTAAAGCAGGGGTCTCCAAACTTGGTCCTGGAGGGCCGATGTCCTGCAGAATTTAGCTCCTCCATCTAGCCTCAACACACCTGCCTGGAAGTTTCTAGTATGCCTACTAAGACATTAATTAGCTGGTTCAGGTGTGTTTAATTAGGGTTGGAGCTAGTGCTGCATTCATGCCATGTCATAATTACTATGATTTTGAGATGACAACACGTGACGTTCTACTTGGAGCTGTTCACACCCTTGGGCTCGAAACTATCGCACTATCAATGCCTAAACATAGCACCTAATGTATCTGAGGTGGTACAAGTTGTAGCTCTCAGAAAACTCCCAGTTCACAAGCTGTAATTACGAGTTCTGCGAGGACGTGAACGCTTTTGGAACAAGTTGGTATCTCGTAATCATGGTAATTACGATATGGCGTGAATGCACCTTAAACTCTGCAGGACACCGGCCCTCCAGGACCTAGTTTGAAAAACAAAATGAGTACATGGTTGACTTATTATTTTATTATTTATTATTTTATTTAATTATAAAATAATATTATTATATATATATATATATATATATATATATAATATATTATTTATACAATCAACATTCAGTCATGATCACGATCATGGTCATTAGCAAAACTTTGGCAAAAAATCACAGACAAAGAAGGTCCATGGTCAAACACTGTTTACTTAGGGTTCATTTCCAAACTAAACAGCATTATTTAGATAAATGCAGTGAATGTACCTGTTCAAAGATAAACAAGCATGAATCTGATGCACAATTAGTGTGAGAAACACAGCCCTCATCTGAAATTCCCAATTGTGCAGATTTCTATTGAGAAGATTCCTTCATCCATGCACCACAAATGCTGTCGCTTGAGCTTAATTTCAAAATATTCCTTCAAGGGGTCTGATAACATGAACTCTTACCCTGGTTGGCAGTAGCTTTGTTAAGGAATTAACAGGAAGTGAGTAAGCAGAGCTTTTAGAGATAAAGTTTTGTATATAGGCCTATATATATGTGTGTGTTATCAGTCCCCAAAGACATCACCCGACTAACTTCCTCAACCATTGTCCCTTCCTGATTCAAATCTTAAATCGTTACACTGTCCAGCCTCTGGACAGGATGTGGTACAGACTGGCTTCTCAGTCAATGGAACAACACCGCGTCATTATCAACAGCTGCCTTCGGGATCCGAAGTCTCCGAGGCATGTCTGTGATGTCATTTCCTGTGCACACTAATAGCTTTGGCTGGAGGGAAGATGCGGATTGTGGTCCGTCTTCCAGTCAAAGCAAGACTCGTAACATACGTTTCCAATAATTCTCTGAGAGTTTTATGCGTGTACAGGATTACTGGGGGCAATAATCACATTTTGTACAAATAAAGCAATAACCGAGAGTGTGCAAATCTGTGCGGTGACAATATGAATGAGTGCCTCCGATAAAACCACATTTCCATTCGATGAACGTAATCATTTTCATTGACTAAGTTGCTTTCTCACGACGCCTCCATTCAAAAACGAATGTGCATTGATTATGAAAATCATTTGATTACCAAACAAAAACTCACATTAATAGTCAGCGAATGGATGTGTGATGCCCTCCATTTCCCCAAAATCCCATTTCTACAGCAAACTAACCACTGTAACCCCATGTTTATTTTCTTAACTCTCTCGCCAAGGTTCACCGGAGACCACGAGAACACAAACCTTCCCCCTAAACTCAGACGGGTTGATGTAGAGCCACCGGACTGAATATATTCATGAGATGGGAAACCCTTTTCCCCAAAATATGTTTATTTTTCTACTTTCCACGGCCTGCTCCGGCGCTCGAATGACCCTCAGTCCAGCACAGGATTGTGGGAGACATTCTCTTTTGGTTACATAAGCTTTATAATTATTATTTCTTTAAAATATTTTATTATTTTAAAGGAATATTAAGAGTCCTGTCCGATTGAATGCTAGGTACTTCAGGAAGTTCAGTACTATATGTTTTGTGGCATTTTTACAACAAAAAAAACAATGTGGTAATGGAGCTTAAGTTGTATTTAACATGCAGTATTCTTTTTAAACAACATTTCAAATGCTGCATATTTTAATATATTATAAAATGTAACTTGTGATGAAAAGCTGAATTTTCAGCACCTTTACTCCAGTCACATGATCCTTTGGAAATCATTCTAATATGCTGATTAGGTGCTCATGAAACATTTCGTATTATTCTTATTATTATCAGTGTTGATGAAAACAGTTGTGCTACTTAATAATTTTGTGGAGTATTTATTTAAAACAGAGATTTTTGGTAACATTATATATCTCTTTACGGTCACTTTAATGTCTGTCAATTTAATTCTGCCTTGCTCAATAAAAGTATTTCTGTCATGACAACTCTCAAGAGGGATTTGCATGGTAATGTACATGACAATGTTAATGTATTTGGTCTTGGCGGAATAGATCTGCTACGCTGCTGCTGCGGCAGAGCAAGTACCGAGACTTGCTACTACCAATACATTTATGTGAGCATGTAAGAAATATTGCTGCTGCAAATATAACATACATGAAATAACCCCCATAGAGCATACATGAATCACCTCGTAGCAGATCTATACAGGTGGAGCTGGGGAAGGTGGGGGGTTTCTGAAGCAAGCTGAACTGCTACGGCAAGCACTAGTCATATATTTGAATATTGAGCAGCGAGCTCATTGGCTACTGATACAGGAGAGAACCAATCAGCTGAGCCATGTGATGATGATGTCATTAGGTCAGATTGAGTTAGATCTATCGGACTGTGCCATCTATAGTTTCATGCCAGAACTCTGTATTAATTTCTATGACCCCAAACCTTTTAAGGATAATGTATATCATATTTCAATATAACAGTTTCTCTTACCTGTTATGACAGGTGATCCAGTCCCTTCAGAGCTGTTGCAGGAACGTCCCTCTGCCACTACCTTAACTGTGCATGTTTGTCCGCATGCCATGTTAGTGATGTCACATCCTGTTTCATTGGTCCTGCAGATGTACCTCTGTCCATTAGAGCATTCCATTGCCATCATAAAGGACAGAGCTCCATTGCCACTGGACCAGGACACACTTGCTGTGTTGCTGTCACAGTTCATTATGGACTGGATATTCAGTGGAGGGCATGGGGCTGAAGAGAAGAGAAAATAATGGCATTTAAAGGTGAAGGTTACGTATGTTATTTCCGCACCACTGGAGGCATCAATTACATTTTTTTTAAATAACTATATTTTATTCAGTTAAAAAAAAAATCTGAACATCTGTATGTTCGGAAAAGCCTAAGCTTTCAAATTTTATCAAGAAATACAAACAATAAATTATGCTCTTTTGATGCTCTATCACAGGGGTCCTCAACTCTGGACCTTGAGATCCACGTTCCTGCAGAGTTTAGCTCCAACCCTAATCAAACACACCTGAACAAGCTAATCAAGGTCTTCAGGATTGCTTCAAAGTTGCAGGTAGGTGTATTTGATCCAGGTTGGAGCTAATCTCCTCCAGGAAACTGGATCTCGAGGTCCAGAGTTGAGGACCCCTGCTCTGTCATGTGGTGTGACAGATCTTTGTAGCCACCTCTGTTCATGCGTCAAGTTTGAAAGCAATCATGTCTTCCTCTTTACATCAAGTTATAGGCATGAATTAAACAAGAATGATAATCGGAAAGTATGTTGAAAAGAATTTTACAACTTACTAAAATGGACCAGTGTTTCAAACTGCAAAAAGACGTCAATAAATCAGCTTGCAAACATCATAACATAACGTTAGCTTAGGAAAGTCATTCAGTGTCTATAGCTTGTTAGTTTGCTAGAAAAAACTCTAGAGAAGCATTGTGTGAAATATGTGTACTATATATATTATATATATGCATTGTATTTTACCTATTAGTGATGGCGTAATTACTTTGACAGATTTATTCAAGACAATTTATGTTCATTTAAATGTTTGAATTTCAACAAGGAATCTGAGTAGAAACATAATTATGCCTTCAGAAAATTTTATATAAAATGTGTTTGTTTACAACTCAGTTTTTATTTGAGTGCTGATTATTATATCTGAAAATAAATAGCAACTGAATTTAATAGTTTTAAGCTTTAATATTTTAATAATTTACCAAGTGAGAGTGTTCCCTGTATAGTTTACAGCTTTATTAGAGATTTCCTTCAGAAAAATAGCATGTACCTGAAGTATTTCAAAATGAACTGATATCAAAGAAGCATCTGGATCAAACTGAATTGAGAGCATGTGAATCCAAATCTAATTGCGAAATCTGTGTCAATACTCAGGCCTACAGTCAAGTAGAAATGTCTGCTAGCAACAAACAGTGATTTAGCTGTGATTTAGTGAAAAGGGCTTGAGACATTTGTTTAAATTATTTCTTTATGATTTACTACAGTTTCTGTCTAAAGAATCTGTCTTTTCTTCTTTACAGTGTCTTCAAATGTCTGGACAAACTAGGCTTTGTTACCTGTCTCCCTCTGCAGTGTGTTACTAGCAGCACTGGTGCACTGGCCTTGTGTTGTATTCACACTGAACGTATACGTCTGTCCACACTGCAGTCCGTCCACCACACATGAACCATTGTTGAAGACACCACATCCCAGCTGTTCACCCTGAGAGCTCACTGCGCTGACCGATAATGCATCTAGACTCAATCCTGACCAGTTCACCACAGCGGACCTTGAGCTACAGTTCAGAGCCACATCGTTCAGAACTGGCACACATGGAGCTGAAAGTCAGGGTAAAGAAAGGTGAAAGGAAACAGATTATTAAATATGAGTTTGAAAAAAATCTTTTATAATATCATTATAGTAATATTATTTTTTATACAATTCCTGATTCCTAACCTGTAATGAAGGAGTACTCCTTGCTGGATTTGCTAGTACAGTTGTTTTGGGTAGCAGTGACAGTGACATTGTATTGGCTGCCACATTGCAGGTGGGCAAGAGTGCAGTTGAAGTTTGTCGTGGTACACTCCACACCACTAGAAGGCCCCAATGGGCCAAATGCTGTTGCCGTGTAATGAACCCCTGAAATGCCCAAGGAGTTCCACGACACTAAGACCATGTTAGTAGAGCAGTCCAAAACAGCAGTGACAAAAGTAGGTGGACAGGGTGCTAAAGAAGAAACAGAAACACATATGCTGAGACTGTTATTCTGCATGTCTCCAGTACTAAGCATTTAAGTCTTAAAGTCAACATGAAACTGTATTTGCAAACCGTTTACTTCAGTTTTGTGACATATACTTAAGTTTAAAAAGTGTAGAGCGTGACTTTGATTTGAGGAACAAGGGCTGCAACCACCATGAATATTGAGGGTACAACGTCCCCTCCAAAAATCAGATATGGCCAAAGTGTTCCTCACAATATTTGATATTTCTTGATACTGCTCTGGTGCACTCCATTATGCACTGTTCTTTTGTCAAATGTTGCTGTTTTAAATTGAAAATATCTCCTTTACGTGATTCATGTAAATCGTAATTAAATGTGATGAGACAAGAAAGATTAATGCAGCTGTTTTCAGCATATTAGAGATACAATTGAGAGTGATTGTGTGCATAATTATTTAGAACGGAAGCTTTCAGCTTTGTCCAAATGCTACTGTACCTGCCGTGACCTGACTGGTCACACTGGCGTTGGAGCTACAGCCGTTGGCTTCTGCAACCACAGTGATATTGTACGTCTGTCCACAGCCAATTGCAGGGATTATGCAGGACGTGGAGGTGGAGTTACACACCAGAGTCTTGTCAGTGGTTTTTGCTTGAGCATAGTAGATCTGCGCCCCTTTACTCGACTGCCAGCTAATTTGAACATCACCTGTTCGACAGTCTAAGAGCTGACTGACCACAGACTGAGGAGCACAGGGTGCTGGGAGACAAAGGTAAACAAAGTATCACTTTAGCATGTTTAAAGTAATATTCCAGGTTAAAAACAAAGCATTCTCAACAGGATCTGTGGTGTGCTGTCAAATATATTTAAAATATGAAGTACTGTCATCAAAGCACTTAACACGAGTTATTCAGTAAAAGTGTTGTTTTTTCTCTCCAAATTTCAAATACTTAGAAAATACTTACCAGTACTGATGCGACGCACTTCACTACGTTGCCCAGTGCAGTCCACACTCATAGCTGTGACTGACACATTGTACACCTGACCACACACCAGGCCGCTGATGTCACAGGAAGTGCTGCTGGAGTTGCAGGTTAGTGTTTGTCCATTATCATCTACTGCTGTTACTGTATAGTATGAAACAAGGCCACTAGATGCTGCCCAGGAAACAGATGCAGTGTTGGACCCGCAGGATAATGACACATTGACTTGAGTGGGAACACATGGAGCTGGAAAGGAAAAGATTCATGCACAAAATCAGAAGATTTTAGCACCATAGATCATTTGATGCCAGAAAAATCACCAAATTAGGTTTTAATCTTATTTCACTTTGTATTATTATTTAATGTTATACCCGTGTCTAGAGTGACCAAGGTTTTAGAAGAGGTTGGACAGGTCCGGCCGACCTGTCCGTATCCTGTAACACTGATGTTATAGTGCTGACCACACGGCAGTGAGCTGATGTTGCAGGAGGAGCCGTTGCTGAAGCAGCTGTGCTTTTGGGGGCCCTGGAAAGACTGCAGTGTTGCATTGAAACTTAATGAACCATTGCCTGGTGTCCAAGAAATGAGTGCTGAGTTGGTGCGGCAGTCCAGACTGGCTTGAATGCCAGTGTTGTGGCATGGTGCTGGATCATGACAAAAATGTTAACACATCAAACTGAAGTATATGTTTTTACATTTACTGAATGGTGCTTGCTATGAAAAAAACTGCTAAGGAATTGCTGTATGGTTGCTAGGCTGTTCTGGGTGGTTGCTAGAAAGTTTCTTAATAGTTCAGAAAAAACTGAAGCCGGACTGTTGTTTCAATCCCTAATTATCACTAATGAGCTGAGTTCAAGTACCTGAGAAAAGAGTGATAGGCTGGCTAGCCGGGCCCATGCAGACACCATTCATGCCCATGACTGTGATGGAATATTCCTGGCCACACTGCAGGTTTGGGATATCACAGTGTGTGACAGTGTTGTTGCAGGAGGTCTTGTACCCTTGGCTGCTTTCCGCCTTTACCAAGTACCAAGTAGCACCAAGTGCACTGTGCCAGGTGATGGAAGCAATGTTGGATGTACAGTTTAGAGCGGCAGCAACATTGGTGGGCATGCAGGGAGCTAGAGAAGAGGAAGTCATATGAAAAGATAGGTTATATATAAAAAGTGTACATATACAGTACTGTTCAAAAGTTTTTTGAAAGATGTTTCGTATGCTCACCAAGGCTGCATTTATTTGAACTAAAACCTTAATATTATGACATATTATTACAATTTGAAATAACTGTTTTCTATTTTAATATATTTTTTAAATGACATTTATTCCTGTGATGTCAAAGCATAATTTTCAGCAGCCATTATTCCAGTCTTCAGTGTCACATGATCCTTCAGAAATCATTCTAATATGCTGATTTGGTGCGCAAGAAAAAATCCTTATCAATTTTCAAAACAGTTGTTCTGCTCAATATTTTTGCAGAAACCGTGATAAAAATATTTTCAGGATTATCTTTTTTTGATGAACAGAAAATCAAAAGATAATTTATTTGAAAATTAAATCTTTTGTAACATTATACTGTCACTTTTTATCAAATTAATGTGTTCTTACCGAATAAAATAATTCTTACTGACCCTAAACCTTTGAATGGTAGTTTATTGTTTTTTCATTTGAAATACATGTGGACCCTAAAAAAATGTGGACACTTAAGCTACGTTTAAAAATGAATGAATGTCAATGAATTAAATAACATAAATGTTTTGTGGTTTAGCGGGTCATATTCATAGTTAATGTGATGAACTACACCTGTGGTTACTCAGGATATATATGTAGATATATACATAATTGGGTAAAATAAACCAGCAAATGCCACTTGTTTCTATCTAATGCATTGAAAATCATACATATAATGTATTTAAAGGTCAAATTTTTTGTGCACATTGTTATGAATCACATATATCAGCAAAAGTTAACATGAGCTGTCACCTGTTACCACCACAGCTTTAGGTTGAGAGCTGCTGTTGCAGGTGGTGTCATCAGCTTGGACAGTCACATTTAGTCTCATCCCACACGGCAGAGAGGTCAGCTGACAGGAAGTTCCCATAGAGTGACAAGAAGCTAAGCGTTGCTGCTGCACGTCTGTTGCCATTGCTGTGTACCCATTAGCTCCTGCGCTGGCAGCCCATGTCACGTTGGCCGTGTTGGTGTCACACTGGAGCACAGTTGTGATGTTTTGAGGGTCACAGGGAGCTAAAGGAGATATGCAGTCAGTTTCAAAGATCTGTTATTACTGTGTAAACATGCATGCTCACATGACTGTTACCTGACTGTATCTGAATGGGTGTGGATGGCAGACTCCTGCATTGACCATCGTTCTTTGTGACTGTGACGTTGTAGTTCATTCCACAGAGCAGGTCTGCGAATGTGCAGTTGTTAGAGCTGGTGCTGCAATTAACTGTGGGTCCATGTTCATCCTGCAGTAGTGCTGTGTACAGACTCCCATCCTGAAGGGCCTGCCAGCTTGCTATCACGTGATTCGATGCACAGTCTCTAGTGACCCCCACACTGACTGGAGAACATGGAGCTACAATAGAAAATGTATTAGATTTACTTCTATATAAAAGTATAAAAACACAGTAAAACACGGATCAATTAATATATAAAATGATAAATAGATAAATAAAAAGACCATATTATTTGTCTTTTTTGTTTTAATTTTAAAAGTCCTTCCTGTTTATTTTTTGTTACGTTTATGTTATTTTTACTTTTTAAATATCTGGGCAACTTGATTCATCCTCTCTTATTGTTTTATTTTGCATTTTAAAAGTATGTCCCTTTTTCGTCGTCCTTTTTTATTTTTGTTTATTTAACATTTTAAATATCTGGCCACTTTTATTTATCCTTTTTTTTCTTTTTCTTTTTGTTACTTTTTTTATCTGGGCCTTTTTATTCATCTTTTATTTGTACCTTATTTGTTATTTTACACTTTAAATATTTTACCTTTTATTTATACCATTTTATTTTTATTTTGTATTATTTATTATTTTACATTTTAAATATCTGGCATCTTTTATTCATCCCCTTTTATTTTTTGTCTTACATAATTTTTAATTTTACATTTTAAACGGTCTCTTTTATTCCTCATTTTAATGTTTTTTTTTTTTTTTTTACACAATTTGTATTTTACATTTTAAAGGTGAGGTCTAATGCCATTTCATGCATTCTGACTTATTTACTCTGTTAAAGAGTTGGATTCCGCAACCATTACTCCAGTCTTCAGTGTCACATGATTCTTCAGAAAGGAACATTTATTTAATGTAATAATTATATTTATTAATTTCTTTTAAAAAAATCACACTGACCCCAAACTTTTGAACAGTAGTGTATCATGAAAATTAAAAAAAAAATGTGCAGGGCATACTACAGACCATAGTAGTCTGGGTGCTGAATCCCACAATGTAAAGCACTCAACTTTGTCCAGACAAACTCAACTCATTTGTTTGATTTGCAAAGACATTTTATGCAAAATGAACCTATTTGTTTTCACCTGAATGCCACTCACTGAATTAAATGTGCTCTGAAAAGTAATCAGGTCATGTGACAAGAAAGTCAAATGTAAAAATGTTGCATAATCAGTTTTACATACTATTTCTTAAAAATAGTAAGATATATACAGTATATACTGCACATTATGCAGTGAACAGTGAACATAGTAATTCATTTAGCAGAAAGTCTCTGGGAACTAGAGTGAGATGTATAGAGTATATAGACAAGTATATGCATGTATGTGTTTCTATGTACCTGAGTTAGTGTTCACAGTAGGACTGGGAGGGCTGCTACACAGATCATCTGACGCCGTCACATTGACGTGGTACAGCTGACCACACCTGAGCCCAGTCACATTACACTGTGAGCCCGTAGACTGGCAGGTGGTGGACAGTCCATTGCTGTCCTGCAAGGTGGCCGTGTAATACTGTCCTCCTGCACCAGGTGTCCATGATACCACTAAAGCATTTGTGGCACAGTCCACGGTGGGCAGGACATTATTTGGGGTGCAGGGTACTAGAACAAAAGAAGCAAGATAAAACTTGAGTGTTAATTAATTCAGTGCCTTTCTTTTACAGTTTTTAAATGAAAAAGACATTCTTCAGCTTTAAAAAGAATCATGATATGAAATAATAAGCAAACCTGCTTGAACTTGAACAGGCGCACTGTTCCCACTGCTGCAGTTGCTGCCTTTTGCCTTCACTGTGATCGTGTAAGACTGTCCGCAGGTCAAAGTTAACAGGTCACAGGAAGTGGATGTTGAGGTGCAGTTAGCTGAAAGGCCATTAGCACTGCTGGCTGTCACTGTGTAAAGCTCCGCCCCTTGGCTGCTCCCCCAGATTACACTTGCTATGTTGCTGCTACAGCTTACACTGGCAGACACATTTTGTGGTACACAAGGACCTGGGTAAATGATAGAAAACAAAATTAGCACATGGTAGACTTATTATTTTAAAGCAATATTCAGAGTTATAGAAAACAAAATGAGTACATGTTGACTTATTATTTTAAAGGCATATTCAAAGTCCTGTCCGCTTGAATGCTAGGTAAGTTTAATAGTGTGTGTTTTGGTGTCATTTTTACAAAAAAACAACAAAAAAACCTTGGTAATGGAGCTTAAGTTGTATTTAACATGCAATATTCTTTTTAAGCAACATTTCAAATTTCAAATGCTGCATATTTTAATACATTATAAAATGATATAAGTAATTATTATAACTTATTCTTGTGATGAAAAGCTGAATTTTCAGCACCTTTACTCCAGTCACATGATCCTTTGGAAATCATTTCGTATTATTCTTATTATTATCAGTGTTGAAAACAGTTGTGCTGCTGTGGAAATTACGTTCAAAATAGCATTTATTTAAAATAGAGATTTTTGGTAACATTATAAATGTCTTTACTGTCACTTTAATGTCTGTCAATTCATCCTTGCTCATTAAAAGTATTAAAAACTTTTGAACGCTAATATTCACCATATTTCAATATAACAGTTTCTCTTACCTGTTATGACAGGTGATCCAGTCCCTTCAGAGCTGTTGCAGGAACGTCCCTCTGCCACTACCTTAACTGTGCATGTTTGTCCGCATGCCATGTTAGTGATGTCACATCCTGTTTCATTGGTCCTGCAGATGTACCTCTGTCCATTAGAGCATTCCATTGCCATCATAAAGGACAGAGCTCCATTGCCCCTGGACCAGGACACACTTGTTGTGTTGCTGTCACAATTCATTATGGACTGGATATTCAGTGGAGGGCATGGGGCTGAAGAGTAGAGAAAATAATGATATTTAAAGGTGAAGGTTACGCATGTCATTTACGCACCAGTAGAGGCAACAATTACATTTTCAAAAATAACTAGATTTTATTCCGTTTAAAAAAAAACACACAAAAGTAATCTGAACATGAGTAGCGCTATGGTGTTGCTATATGGCTTCTAGAATGGAAGCTTTCAGCTTTGTCCAAATGCTACTGTACCTGCCGTGACCTGACTGGTCACACTGGCGTTGGAGCTACAGCCGTTGGCTTCTGCAACCACAGTGATATTGTACGTCTGTCCACAGCCAATTGCAGGGATTATGCAGGACGTGGAGGTGGAGTTACACACCAGAGTCTTGTCAGTGGTTTTTGCTTGAGCATAGTAGATCTGCGCCCCTTTACTCGACTGCCAGCTAATTTGAACATCACCTGTTCGACAGTCTAAGAGCTGACTGACCACAGACTGAGGAGCACAGGGTGCTGGGAGACAAAGGTAAACAAAGTATCACTTTAGCATGTTTAAAGTAATATTCCAGGTTAAAAACAAAGCATTCTCAACAGGATCTGTGGTGTGCTGTCAAATACAAAATGTGAAGTACGGTCATCAAAGCACTTAACACGAGTTATTCAGTAAAAGTGTTTTTTTTTCTCCAAATTTCAAATACTTAGAAAATACTTACCAGTACTGATGCGACGCACTTCACTACGTTGCCCAGTGCAGTCCACACTCATAGCTGTGACTGACACATTGTACACCTGACCACACACCAGGCCGCTGATGTCACAGGAAGTGCTGCTGGAGTTGCAGGTTAGTGTTTGTCCATTATCATCTACTGCTGTTACTGTATAGTATGAAACAAGGCCACTAGATGCTGCCCAGGAAACAGATGCAGTGTCCGACCCGCAGGATAATGACACATTGACTTGAGTGGGAACACATGGAGCTTGAAAGGAAAAGATTCATGCACTAAATCAGAAGATTTTAGTACCATATATCATTTGATGCCAGAAGAATCACCAAATTAGGTTTTAATCTTATTTCACTTTGTATTATTATTTAATGTTATACCCGTGTCTAGAGTGACCAAGGTTTTAGAAGAGGTTGGACAGGTCCGGCCGTATCCTGTAACACTGATGTTATAGTGCTGACCACACGGCAGTGAGCTGATGTTGCAGGAGGAGCCGTTGCTGAAGCAGCTGTGCTTTTGGGGGCCCTGGAAAGACTGCAGTGTTGCATTGAAACTTAATGAACCATTGCCTGGTGTCCAAGAAATGAGTGCTGAGTTGGTGCGGCAGTCCAGACTGGCTTGAATGCCAGTGTTGTGGCATGGTGCTGGATCATGACAAAAATGTTAATACATCAAAAAGCAGTATATGTTTTTACATTTACTGAATGGTGCTTGACATGAAAAAACTGCTAAGGTATTGCTGTATAGTTGCTAGGGTGTTCTGGGTGGTTGCTAGAAAGTTTCTTAATAGTTCAGAAAAAAGCCGGTTTGTTGTTCCCCCAATCACTAATTATCACTAATGAGCTGAGTTCAAGTACCTGAGACGAGAGTGACAGGCTGGCTAGCCGGGCCCATGCAGACACCATTCATGCCCATGACTGTGATGGAATATTCCTGGCCACACTGCAGGTTTGGGATATCACAGTGTGTGACAGTGTTGTTGCAGGAGGTCTTGTACCCTTGGCTGCTTTCCGCCTTTACCAAGTACCAAGTAGCACCAAGTGCACTGTGCCAGGTGATGGAAGCAATGTTGGATGTACAGTTGAGAGCGGCAGCAACATTGGTGGGAATGCAGGGAGCTAGAGAAGAGGAAGTTATATGAAAAAATAGGTTATATATAAAAAGTGTACATATACAGTACTGTTCAAAAGTTTTTTGAAAGATGTTTCGTATGCTCACCAAGGCTGCATTTATTTGAACTAAAACCTTAATATTATGACATATTATTGAAATTTTAAATAACTGTTTTCTATTTTAATATATTTTTAAAATGTCATTTATTCCTGTGATGTCAAAGCATAATTTTCAGCAGCCATTATTCCAGTCTTCAGTGTCACATGATCCTTCAGAAATCATTCTAATATGCTGATTTGGAAACATTCTTATAAATTTTCAAAACAGTTGTTCTGCTCAATATTTTGCAGAAACCATGATACATTTTTTAACAGAAAATTCTAAAGAAGATCATTTATTTGAAATTGTAATCTTTTGTAACATTATCAATGTCTTTACAGTAATGTGTTCTTACTGAATAAAATAATTAATTTCTTTCCAAAAAACAAAACAAAACAATTTGATCTTATATATAAAAAAATCTTTCTGACCCTAAACCTTTGAATGGTAGTGTGTTGTTTTTTTTATTTCTTTGTTTGTTTGAAATACATGTAGACCCTAAAAAAAATGTGGACACTTAAGCTATGTTTAAACATGAATGAACGTCAATGAATTAAATAACATAAGTGTTTTGTGGTTTAGCAGGTCATATTCATAGTTAATGTGATGAACAGCTGTGGTTACTTAGGATATATTTATAGATACATAATTGGATAAAACAAACCAGCAAATGCCACTTTTCTATCTAATGCATTGAAATTCATACATCTAATGTATTTAAAGGCCAAATTATTTGTGCACGTTGTTATGAATCACATATATCAGCAAAAGTTAACATGAGCTGTCACCTGTTACCACCACAGCTTTAGGTTGAGAGCTGCTGTTGCAGGTGGTGTCATCAGCTTGGACAGTCACATTTAGTCTCATCCCACACGGCAGAGAGGTCAGCTGACAGGAAGTTCCCATAGAGTGACAAGAAGCTAAGCGTTGCTGCTGCACGTCTGTTGCCATTGCTGTGTACCCATTAGCTCCTGCGCTGGCAGCCCATGTCACGTTGGCTGTGTTGGTGTCACACTGGAGCACAGTTGTGATGTTTTGAGGGTCACAGGGAGCTAAAGGAGATATGCAGTCAGTTTCAAAGATCTGTTATTACTGTGTAAACATGCATGCTCACATGACTGTTACCTGACTGTATCTGAATGGGTGTGGATGGCAGACTCCTGCATTGACCATCGTTCTTTGTGACTGTGACGTTGTAGTTCATTCCACAGAGCAGGTCTCCGAATGTGCAGTTGTTAGAGCTGGTGCTGCAATTAACTGTGGGTCCATGTTCATCCTGCAGTACTGCTGTGTACAGACTCCCATCCTGAAGGGCCTGCCAGCTTGCTATCACGTGATTCGATGCACAGTCTCTAGTGACCCCCACACTGACTGGAGAACATGGAGCTACAATAGAAAATGTATTAGATCTACTTTGTGTACATCAGAAATTCATTTGTTTTACTTTTATATAAAAGTTTAAAAACACAGTAAAACACAGGTCGATTAATATAAAAAAATGCTAGATAAAAGATAAATATAAAGACCATATTATTTTACATTTTTATTTTAACTTTTTTTTTTTTACATTTTAAAAATCCTTCCTGTTTATTTTTTGTTACGTTATTGTTATTATAATATTGTTGTTTTAAATATCTGGTCAACTTTATTCATCCTTTCTTATTGTTTTATTTTTCTTTTTAAAAGTATGTCCTTTTCCTTCATCCTTTTTTTTTTCGTTTATTTAACTTTTTAAATATCTGGCTACTTTCATTCATCCCATTTTATTTTTTTATTTTAATTATTTGTTATATTACATTTTAAATATCTGGCCTCTTTTATTTATCCTGTTTTATTTTTTATTTTACTTTTTTAACTTTTTTTTTATTTTACATTATTCACAATTTTACACTTTAAATATTTTACTTTTTATTCATAACATTTAATTTTTCTTTTATATTATTTATTATTTTACATTTTAAATATCTGGCCTCTTTTATTTATCCTGTTTTATTTTTTTATTTTACTTTTTTAACTTTTTTTTTATTTTACATTATTCACAATTTTACACTTTAAATATTTTACTTTTTATTCATAACATTTAATTTTTCTTTTATATTATTTATTATTTTACATTTTAAATATCTGGCATCTTGTATTCATCACCTTTTATTTTTTGTTTTTAGATCATTTGTAATTTTACATTTTAGATGTAGACCGGTCTCTTTCATTCCTCATTTGAATGTTTTTTTAATTACTATTATGAATTTAAAATTGTTTTACCCGTCTGCAGGGTGACATGATGACTCTCAGCACTGTTGCATTGCAGGTTAGTTGACTTGACATTCACATCATACGTCTCGCCGCATCTCAGGTTTGGGAATGTGCACTCTGCCGCCATGGCAGCGCAGGTGTGAATTGTACCATCTACGTGCTTTGCCGATCCAATGTAGATGATGGCACCATTGGCATTGCTCCATGTGAGAGAGGCAGATTCTGAACTACAAGTCTTCACAGTGGACACGTTCTGAGGTATGCAGGGAACTACGGTGGGAGATATAGTGTATAGTATCACCATCTAAAACCATGCCACAGTACTTTTTTTGTAAGTTTATATTCATATGCCAATGTATTTACATTGCAATTGGTATTACCACAGTACCCAGAATCACTCACCTGTCTCTGCCACCTCTCCCAGCACAGGATCAGTAGTACATTCACCATTTGTGGCAACAATCCACACGCTCAGGCTCTCTCCGCAATACAGATCTGTTAGCGTGCAGCTTGTGTTTGCAGACGTACAGTTGTAGAAATCTTTACGATTACCGCGGGCCTCCACAATGTAGGTCTTGGCTCCTGTGGCCTCATCCCAAGTAATGACGGCACTGCTGATGCTATTACAGTTTGCTATTGTGTAGATGTTCTGCGGTAAACATGGGGCTACATGGGTAAGGAGACAGAGGGGGCCAAAATGAATAATTATATGTAAAACAAGTAACAGTGCTGATGTTGCAATTTGCAAAGTGTCATAATCCAGCTCAATTCAGTTCTAATTTTTTCTCTCTCATCCAATAGTGTTAGAGCTGTTAAATCGATAATATAACTGAATATGAATTGTCTTTTAAATGTATTTTAAACTCCAAAACAAACACACAAACAGAAACAGCTGCAAAATTATGTTTCTCTCATTTTAGTGATTGTGAAATACTAATAGCACCAGTATCCATTTTACAAGTTATAGCTGTATAACAGTGTCATATCATGGAAAATTTTATATTTATCAATTTGTACCAAAATGGATGACTCACCTGTTTTGATCACCACACCGTCTGTGTATCCACTGTTGCAGTCTAGTCCTCCGGAGTAGATGGATCTGACATAGAAGCTGTAGGTTTGACCACAGACGGTGTCAGTGAAATAACAGGAGGTGTCCACAGTGAGGCATTCAGTTACCAGTTGGTCCGAGTCCACAGCTATGGCGAAGTAATAAGCCGTGTTGTTGGTGGAATCCCACGAGAACAAGATGACGTTAGTGGAACACTCACGGTACGGCTCTAGTGCTTTGGGTGGGCAGGGTGCTGTTCGTTTGAGAGATGGAGGAGAGAAATTAATTTGCTGGTGAAATACTGTATACAATTCCTTTTTAGTTTAAAGGGACAGTTCACCCAGAAATGAAAATCCTCATCATTTACTTACGGTCATGTTGTTCAAAACCTGTATGACTTACTTTCTTCTGCGAACACAAAAGAAGATAATTTCAGGAATAACTGCTGTTTTTGTCCATAAAATGAAAGTAAATGGGGTCCAAAAAAGATAGTTATACAGGTTGACATTAGGGTGAGTAATGATGACAGAATTTTCATTTTTGGGTGCACTATCCCTTTAAGAGAGACACTGAGAGTAGATAAAATACAAGCTGAGAAAGATAACCTTAGAGAAGGCAGGTAGATTTACTAACTTAAAGGGGTCATATGATGCTATTTCAATTTTTCCTTTCTCTTTGGAGTGTTACAAATCTTGGTGCGTAAAGAAGGTCTGTAAAGTTGCAAAGACTAAAGTCTCAAATCCAAAGAGATATTCTTTATAAAAGTTAAGAGTCAACCACGCCTACCTAAAACGGCTCGTTCTAACACGCCCCCACATATCTACGTCACGATGTGGGAAGATTTGCATAACACCGCCCAAATGTTCATGCAAAGAAAGAAGGCGTAACTTTTATTCTTGCTGTAGTATTGTTGTTGCCGCCGCTGCCATGTTGTGAAGGCGCTGTGTTTTGTTGTGAAAGTGAAACTACTTTGGTTGGCCTTCCAAAAGAGGACGATATCCGCTTCGTCGTGCCTGGAGCTGATCCGCTCTGGTCGCTGAGGAAATACATCAACTTCGCGTGGTGGATCGCCAGATCGGCTTTCACTGTGGACGAAGCGGAGTCACATGTGGTTGCCGGCCGCAAGCCCGCCGGACGCTCCTTCGTCGAATCCGCACTCTAGGCCTCCGGCCTCTGCTTACTCAAGGCCGCCGCGTTGTGTGACGCTGTTTCGTTGTGAAAGCGAAACTACTTTGTTTTGCCTTCCAAAAGAGGACACGACTAGAAATCGGTAGTTAAGTTGTATTTACAACACTGTTCCAAAACAGTTCAACTCAAATATTCAGATGTGTGCAGCGCATTTTATGGAGAATTGTTTCCTGATCCTGGTAGAGTAGACTACAATGCCGGTGTTCTGACAAATAATACTACCTATCAGATTATGGTACCAACACTGTATTTATCCTACTGTAAGGGTAGGTTTAGGGTTGGGGTAGGTGTACATGTTAATAAAGTCTCACACCTTATTAATATCATACTGGAAACAAAATCTGATAGGTAGCACTTTTCGCTATCGAATTATGCTACCATCTACATTTTAATGGGAGGTAGCAAAATCTGACAGGGTAGCAAAAATCGTCAGAACACCGGCTGTTCTGGACTTCCGGTTATGTGGCGTGCAGAGTAGTCGCACGTTCAGCCTGCTCCTGCAGTTTCAATTATACTCTACTTATTAAACATCTCTATTTTCATTTATAGTGTGTACAATAGCTTTTAAAACTAGTTACAACTATTCGGATTGCTCTGTCATGTCCAAGGCTAAAGGAAAGTATGCAGAAAAAGATAAGGAGCTTTCGCCAACGGCTAGCATAACTATAGCTTCATTGATCTTTTCATCTCCACCAATGTTACTCCAGATGTGTCAGCGTCTACAATTTTGGAGGCATGCAAAGCTTATCTGCGTGGAGAGATAATATCTTATTCTGCTTTTCGCAGGAAGTCCACTGTCGAAAAGAGCTTCTCTATTTCTAAGGAACTGGCAGATATACAGTCCAGATGTGTTTTTTAGGCCCTTAAACATTCCTTCCATTGACTGTGATACAACTTCCAGGCTGGATGAGCCTTTTACAGTAGAAGTCGTCAAAGGGGCGTAATTCTCAATGCAGAATGGGAAGTGTCCAGGGCCTGATGGCCTTCCCACTGAATTTTTTAAGGCGTTTGCTGACAAACTCTCCCCATTACTGCTAAATATGTTCAATGAATCTTTAGTATCCAACATACTTCCCCCTACTTTAAGACAGGCTACTATTTCTCTCATTTTAAAGAAGAATAAAGACCCCCTTTTCTGTAGTAATTATCGCCCTATTTCGTCGCTGTGTGCGGACATTAAAATACTGGCCAAGATGCTGGCAAGGCGTTTGGAAACTGTTTTGCCTTCAATCGTCTCTACAGATCAAACAGGGTTTGTGAAGGATAGACACTCTCTCCACAATGTCAGACGTTTATTTGATATTTTATACTCTCCCTCAACTTCAGCCTCCCCGGAGTTGGTTATTTCAATGGACGCAGAGAAGGCATTTGACAGGGTGGAGTGGCCTTATTTGTTTTACTCATTAAAAAGATTTGGATTTGGCAGTAAATTTATCTCGTGGATTAAACTTCTTTATGCCTCTCCCTTGGCCCGTGTCCACACCAACAATGTTTATTCTGATTATTTTCCGCTTGGGCGTGGTACTCGGCAGGGCTGCCCACTTTCCCCATTACTGTTTGCCATTGCTATCGAACCACTGGCAGTGGCTCTCTCTTTGTATGCTGACGACCTTTTACTTTTTGTTTCTGATCCAGACAGATCCATACCTCTTGTGTTAGACTTACTGAAGGAATTTGGGCAGGTCTTGGGGTACAAACTGAATCTTCATAAGAGTGAACTTTTGCCTATAAACTCTGCAGCTGCAGCCAATCCTCTTTCAAAATGGCCATTCAAGAGATCATTGGACAGTTTTAATTATTTAGGCATCTGTGTTACCAAGAACTACTCTGACTTGTTTAATTGTAATTTTTCTCCTCTGCTGGATCGATTGACTGAAGATTTTCATCATTGGTCTGTGTTGCCTCTTTCTCTTGCAGGTAGGATAAATTGTATTAAAATGAATATACTGCCCAAATTCCTTTATCTTTTTCAGTGTATCCCAGTTTTTATTCCAAAGCATTTCTTTAATTCTCTGGATAGTTCTATTTCTCAATTTATATGGAACGGGAAAACTCCCAGAATGTTAGGCATATTGCAAAAAACTAAGGAGTTGGGTGGATTAGCACTACCTAACTTCCTGTTTTATTACTGGGCTGCAAATGTTCGAAATATGTTATTCTGGTGTTGCTCTAATGATCAGCCTCCACCCTGGCTGAGGATTGAGGAGGTTGCATGTGACCGTTCTTCACTTGCATCTCTTCTGTGTCTTCCTTCTTCCTTTTCATCTTTAAAATTTTCTAATAATGTTATAGTTAAAAATTGTCTTAAGATTTGGGGTCAGCTTAGGCGCCATTTCATTCTACAGACAACACCTCTCTTATGCCCTGTTCATTCTAATCCTCTTTTCCCTCCCTCTTTCAATGATAAGGCTTTTGCAGCCTGGGTGGATCATGGGATAGTTTATGTCACCACTGGATGCAACAAATGCCTCGTTTATAATAGGTTATCACAATATGGTAAGGCATCACAATATGGTAAGGGGCATAACATTTCCGTCACACGCTTGAGGTATTCGGCCAACCACAACACACTGGATAGCTGGCCAATCAAAGCACACCTCGCTTTTCAGACCGATGAGCTTTGTAAAAATCTACACGTTTCAGAAAGGCGGGGCATAGAGGAGAAACAATAATGTACAGTATGTGGAAAATAATGTGTTTTTTTAATCTTAAACCACATAAACATTTCATTACACCAAATATTGTTCTTTTTAGAAGCATCATATGACCCCTTTAAGGGCTAAGACTGATGCAGGACTCTGCCACCTGATACCACATGACCTTCCATAAAACCTCTGCCTCAATAGACCATAGAGTTCATTTAATCTACATGACAGTAATTCCTGGGTGTGTTCCTCAACAGACTTGTTACACCATGAGAGGATTTCCTGCTCATCTCCCAGAGCAGGGGTTTTCAACCTTGACATGCGCCCCCCCAAGTTTGTCTAATTTCATTCGCTCTGTCTGAAAGACGGCTTTCTGTGTGTGCGCGCACAGAAACAATCTATCACAGTACGCGAGTACTGCATTGGGATCTCTTTCATGCTGTCTTGCACCTGAATAGCTTAAAATCACTTTAATTTTTGATCTGACAAGACTTAAAACACGTGAGAATAATAAACGTTCTTGAGGAAGCTGCACTGGCCCAATCGTTCAGCTAGTTTAGGGGGGCTGAGAAGACAGATAGGGGGGCTGAAGCCCACCTAAAAAGCACCACCCCTGGTATAGCGTGCGTAATTATACTGAAACCTTATATATAACCAGCTTTCCTGGTTCAGTGTGATGGCTGAGCCTGTTTCTGAGAGCACAACACGCCAATCCGTGGTTGGATTATAACCGACATGGCTAACCGTAAATCATCTTCCACTGTCAATAAGCGTGAGCGATAGCCCTGATATCGGAACTTGATTACGCCAACTCTGCCCTAACTGTCTACTGATCAGCAGTGGGACTAATCAGATTGCCCCCTAGTGGATGGCTAAAGATTTGCCAGATTGTATTCATAATTACTCGAGTGTATGCCTCTGAATTAACAGTTTCTCGCTCCCCCCTTAACAGGTTCTGGGCCCCACAAGTTGAAAGCCCCTGTCCCAGAGGACTGGATGAGGTGTGAGTGTGACCTTTGAGAAAGGATATCTTTACTTGTCTCGAAGATGTAGCTGCCATCAGAAGTGCTTTCACAGTTAGCGAAGGCTGTGATCCGTACAGAGTATCGTTCTCCACAGACCAGCATCAAGACCTGGCAGGTGGTGTCCGTGGAAGTGCAGTTGAGCGACCGGCCTTGACCATCTGTAATGACGGCATGGTACGACGTGGCACCAAAAACCACATGCCAACTGACCATTGCTGTAGAAGTAAGACAGTTGTACTCCACAGAGATGGAGGAAACTGTTGAAATGGCTGAGATAAACAAGAAGTAATATGTTAGAGTTCTGCATATCCAGATGCTGAAAAGACCGGCATTGAATTCTAGGCTGGTTTTAGTGTTGGTTCTGGACTAGAAGAAATTCTTGGTTATGCAAGTCTAGAAGCATCCAAAACACATCAAGGCATAAATCTATTGCTTTAGGATTTATTTCAAAGGTTTCACTCTGAAATGTTCTGCTTCATCTTGACTTACTGGAAGTTAAGTAGGTGACGTTGATGAACTCTCCTGGTTCCAGGAACATGTTGATGGATGCAACCCCTATTGTGTACGTTGTACACGGCTCCAGGTTTGAGATATTCGCTGCGGTACCAGTGACGTTCTTAAGAACCGGGGGAAATCCCGGCTTGTTATTGGCTGTCACTGATACCTGGTAGAGCAGGACTCCTGAAACATTGTTCCATGTTACGCGAGCCATGCTCTGCGTTAACTCTCTTACAGCCACGTTATTTGGTGGCTGCACCACTGTTGAACAAAAATATTTGCTAATTGTCAATTATAGTAAGGCAAGATTTCATTGACAGTATACCAAAGCTGCCGTAACGAAAATAGCACAAAACTTGAAAGAACCAAGTAGACTTACACGTTCTGATGGTTTTAACAAGGCTCTTGGAGCCAAGTCCTGCAGAATTGGCGGAATAAATGTAACAGCTGTATGAAGTGGCTTGCTGGAGGTTGTCTATCTGTCCACTTAGCGTGGTGAAAGTGAGGTTATGAGTCTCAGGATGGAAAGTTCCATTCACCACCAAAATGTATTTCTCGGCTCCTTGCGCACTGGACCACTCAAACCTGATCGAGCTGCTTGATATTGCCTTCGAATATGTTATTTGCGAGGCGGTAGGAACTGCATGTACAAATGAAATGAATTTTTAATTTTTTTTTAATGTCTAAAAACTTAAGATATGTGTGGGTCGATAACTTACTTGTCTGTGCTGTTGTGGAGTTGATGCATGACATATGATTTAACACAAACACTTTAAAAGTCACTAGATAAATTTGTCCTGGTCTTAAGCCTTGGACCAGTCTCTCCGCAATGGATGCAGCGAGTGTAATAGTGACAGGTGCTGTGTTGTTTGAATTCACAACCCTGACATCCAGAGTATAGCTTGTCGCACCTGGGAAAGTGTTCCATTTTACAAGCAGAGATGACGCAGTGGGTGATAATATTGATGTTATATTACAGTCTGGAGGGAAACAAAAAGATTTTTTGTAAATATCTTCAAGGATCTTTTTGTAAGTCACTTCAAAATGTAATAATCTGTAATAATACAATATATTTAGTTAAATACATTCCTAAACATTTATTATTTTTGCTCAAATATATATTTTCTAATATCTATAAATTAAACTAAATTAAATGTACTGAACTGTGATACATAGTTAGTTCTACACTGTATTAATATTCTTAATACCTCTACTTATTACTAAAATAAATAATACAATAAATAGTAAATAAGAATTAAATACTTACTTGCAGTAGTAGCTTCTATTACCTTAGAACAAAGAAGAATGTGAGAGACAACTTAATCATTAGGACTTCAAACATAAAAAATTAACAATAAATCATTAACAGATCTTTTTTTTTTGGACAGATTAATAAATACCTGTGCTACTGAAAACAGCGTTACAAAGATGAACAGTGTCCCTGGAAGATGCATCTCTGATTAGATGCATAAGGTGCTAATAAGTTAAGATACATACACTTTCTAATACAGAGAGAAATCTGAAATCTTTTGTGGCATGGTGCAAGTATACCTGCTCTGTATGAACCAATCAGTGCATCCAAAATGAGGGCAGGTGGATGCCTCTGGGCTAAAGACATCATCCAATTATCTCTGTGTGTGTGTGTGTGTGTGAGCGCGCACATGTGTGTGCATGTGTATGTTTTTATAGGTAAAGGGTAAGCTGGGGGTCTAAGGTTTATTGTTAGACTAATTAAGACCACAAACGTTGACACTAGTTCTCTCTAGATATGTGTCATATTTTTAATAATTACTTTATTTTAAAATGATAATTTGCTTAAATGAAGATCACACTGGTGTGTTAGGGTTATTTTTGAGTGGTAAGTGATATAGGATAGGTTGTTAATCATTAGGTTTCAGGACAACAGGCTCAGGATAATGGAAAGAGTGAAATTCCCATCCTTGTACTGGCTTGCCTCAAGCAGTCTGGTGTAAAGCGCGCACATGTGTGTGCATGTGTATGTTTTTATAGGTAAAGGGTAAGCTGGGGGTCTAAGGTTTATTGTTAGACTAATTAAGACCACAAACGTTGACACTAGTTCTCTCTAGATATGTGTCATATTTTTAATAATTACTTTATTTTAAAATTATAATTTGCTTAAATGAAGATCACACTGGTGTGTTAGGGTTATTTTTGAGTGGTAAGTGATATAGGATAGGTTGTTAATCATTAGGTTTCAGGACAACAGGCTCAGGATAATGGAAAGAGTGAAATTCCCATCCTTGTACTGGCTTGCCTCAAGCAGTCTGGTGTAATGTTAAAGAAAGATTAAATTACTGCATATTAAACACACATTTCCCCCTCTTATTTCCCCTTAATCCTGGTTTAATATCGTCCTCTGTAATGATGAAGTTGAATTTGTGAATGAGTTGGTCTTTCAGATTTGTTCTCCCAGTACAAGACATGAAAACTTATTTTTGAATATTTGACTCGCGTGGGGTTGCATTTGAACGGAATCAGTTCAGTTGGATTGATGACTATTTTCAGTAAATCATTTATTATAAAGTTATTCAGTTATCGCTCACTGAATTCCCAATGGTGCATTCACTGAAAAGCAGTTAATTCTGTAAATGGAGATATTTGAGTGTATCTTGTGTAGTTATGGTTTTTAACACCATTGTTTTAATATCAAATACGAATATGTATTTTTAAAAATAATGTATGCATTTGCTTTTCATGTTATTAATGGCTGCATCTTCAGCTGAATGCTGGCTAATATGATGATAACTAGTAGCCAAAAATACCCTTTTTTTTTTTTTTTACCAAATCGTATATATAGATTTTGAAAGAAGTTCAGCTTTATTCTGTAAATCATTAACTCTTTGTTGTATTTTTATATAAGCTTTTATTTATTTATTTTATTTTTTATTTATTCAATTCTATTACTTTTTTCACTGTGTCATTAATTCAACTTATGTAATCTTGTTTCGGAAGCAGTTATTTTTCTTCTCAATACCCCCCCCCC